TAAAATCCCAGACCTTCTCACTCTAAACACTTTCTCTCTCTATTATTTATTCTCTTTCTTATTAACATGCTAATAAAATTTTGGGATACCCACAAATAATTTTAAATCTAACATTCTATAAGTTAATAATTCTTATGGCATCATCATCACCTTGAAGAGAGGCGAGGGAGGGGTGATAATGGTAAAATGTAAAAAATATTAGAAGTTGTCAATCTCACATGTAACAACACTTGTGATCCAAGCCATGGTTTATAATTAACTTTGATACTACAGTTATACCATACACTAATGACAAACATATCTGGTTCAAGTATGTTCTTTTTTCCTCTTTCTCTTCTTCAACCTTTTGTCTTCTGCTTCTTGTTACTACATTTTCCTATAACAACTTTGTTTTAGGATTTCACAACAATTAGAGCATAAATGAAGTGAGTATGAGCGCACTCTCTCTCTCTCTCTCTCTCTCTCTCACACACACACACACACACACACATAACCTCATAAATAAAATATACGTGTTTAAAGATAAATATTTTTATGTCTACATAAAGATTATTAAGGTACCATTAAGTTGAACGTGAGCTAATAAATATGATCCATTAAGAACAACAAAAAATAAACCTGTTGTCCTATTTATTTCATATTATTTTCTATTTATATATTTCCTTTTATTTTTGACTAATTATAGGAGTTTCTGTTTTTAGTTTATTTGATTTGATTCTTATAATCTTGGAGACATGAGTGTTATTTCTTTCCTAAGTTAAGATTCTAGTAAGTTGTATTTAAGCCAACATTTCATATCAATAAAATTATTCTGCTCAATTCTCCAAATCTACATGACATTAGAGTCGGGGATCTTACCCTAACTGTCGGAATTTCTCCCAACAGACCTCTAGCCATTGGAAGTCCTAAGGATCTTACCCTATCCATTAGAACTTCTCCCTGCAGACCTGCAGAGGACCTCCTCCTTGCAAGCCTATAGCCAGCGAAACTCCTCCTTGCAGTCCTATTTTCTCCCTACAGGCCTTTAGTCATCGGAACTCCTCCTTGCAGGCCTATAGCCACTGGAACTCCATCCCGCGGGCCTATTTTCTCGCTGCAGGGAGACAGGACTCCTTCCCGGTACTCCCTGCAACCAGAATTCTTTATTGCAGTCTCTCCTCTTGCCAGAATTCCCTCCTACATTGGAAAACTCCCCTACAGATTACCAGATGTGGAGATTGACTCCTTACGTGCCTCGACGACCAATCCTCTCCTTTGGGTCTGTTGAAGCCATGGCTGATTCCTCCACCTTCAAGCATTCTTCTGACGTTGTTCTTGATTCCACTAAAGGTTCGACATCTACCAAAATCCCTTTGCAGACCTCAAGACCTGAACAACACATGAATTTCATGATTACCACTCATAAATTCAGTGGTTCTAATTTCCTTTGGTGGTCTCAAGCTATTTCATTGTTTATTAAAGGTCAAGGTAAATTTGGTTACCTCACGGGTACGATTCGAGAACCATTGAAGACTGACTTAGCATATGTTGCGTGTGAAGTGGAAAAATCCATGGTTTTGTCTTGACTAATTAAGACCTCTATTAGTTATTCTTACCAATTTCTTCCGTCTGCAAATGTCCTCTGGACTGCCGTTCACGACACCTATATGGACTTAGATAATTTTGGACAACTCCATGAAGTTTCTAATAAGGTTCGCGAGGCTAAACAATGATCGAAGACAGTGACCCAATATTACAACTTGGTTGCTTTATGAACGGAATGTGATTTCTACTATAACTACACTCGGGACTCTCCCACAGACCTCTCCCTCTTCCATAAGATTTTGGAAAAGAATTGCATAAATTTTTGGCTAGCCAGAACAAGGATCTTGGTGAAGTTCATTGTCGTATACTCGGTTATGACCCTCTTTCTTCAACCCCGGAAGCACTCACCGAAATCCCCCGTGAAGGAAGTTGGAGACTTATCATGTTGGGCAACTCAACTTTTTCAGCTGAGCCGTCAGCCTTGATCTCCAACAGTACTCCATACTCTACCACATTGTCTCGAGTCAATCACTCCACATGTGATTTTTGCCATAAACCATACCATACTTGTGAAAAGTGTCAGAAGCTCCACGTGAAACCGACAATTAAGGGTGCGTTTGGGGAGGCTTATTAGCTGCGGCGGTGTTTTGAAAACGCCGCCAAAGTGTTTGGAAGAAGCGTTCAAAATGCTTATTTCAAAACTCCATTTCTCTGTTTAACTAAACGCGTGATGCAGAAGGAGCCCCACGGTTGGCGTTTCCTTCAGCATTTTGGCGTTTTTGCCCCCTATCGCTCTACTCAAAAACCTTCACCCATTTCCCCTTCCTCCTTGCTTCGCCCAAAATCCCTTGTGATCTAAACCCTAGCGATATGATCGCGATTTGAGCTAGCCGATATACACTGTTGTCCCTCTTCAAGTTTACCTACCTGCCGGCTCCGCCAACTTTTCCTCTTCCGGCGAGCTACCACCAGCGAACTCCTCTCTCCGACGACGCTTCGGCCAGGTACTCATCCTCCCCTCTTCTTCTTCTCCTTCGCGCATGTCAGAGAAAGAAATGAGAGATTTCGGGTAGGAGCAGAGATTTGCATACATACCACTTAATTCTTTTCATTTTACAACAAATATATAAAAAAAGAACTTTTTCAAATATACCACTCAATTTATGTCTCTTGGAAAAAAAAGAAAAAATTATAAAGGTTTACATACATATCACTCAATTCCTGTGTATTTGTTTACGTACATATCACTCAATTTCGTGTACTTATTCTTACACATTTATTCACGTTTATACCATTCAATTTTGCACATTTATTTAAGCACATATCGCCCAATTTCAAGAATTTATTCTTGTATATTTATTTACATATATACCACTCAATTTCTATATTTAAAAAAAATCTGCAAATCAGTTATTTACAAAACGCACAAACCAAACAGCTAAACAACTTATCCATAACAGGGGCAACATGATCATTTATTTAAAATCAGTTGTTTTTCAAACGCACAAACCAAACAGTCAGCTAGCTTATCCGGATCAGCTGTTCATCAGTAGATAGCTGCTTATCAGCAGATTATCAAGATAAGCTGCTTATCAGCATAAGCTGAATAAGTTGCAGCTGCCCCAAATATACCCTAAGTCTTCGGGCAAATATACTGCTGCTAAATGTCTCGATACGACCTCAAAATCCAGAATAGTTCAAGCAACATCTACTCGGATCATTCCCGACTCGCTAGATTCTATTAAGAGTCAGTTGGAACAATTGATTAAGTTGTTTGATTCTAGTCAAATCTCCTCCGGCTCGTGACCTCTCATATCCGTCAAGGAAACAAGTGGATTTTTTTTTTGTTCTTTGATGTGTCCATCATAAAAATATTAGAAGATTTTCTATTTAAATGATTGGATAAGACATTTAAAGAATAATATAACTCCCCAAGAAGAAAAACTATTACCTTAAAAATAAACCTAATTATTCAGATGATAAAAATCTTTTAAGACTTATTGTCTACATAAACTAGGTTTTTCCATTACCTTACAGGTGTAAGATAAGGTTTATTTGATTCTGAGGTATGATATCCCTACTAGGGGAAGCCTTCATTATTTAATAACATCTCCAGAGCTAATAACTCAAAATAAAATTCTTGATCAAAATAATCACTTCTGTTATTCAGATTGCACGGTTGAACTTTCAAAGTTGAAATTCTAAAGGTATTGGAGGGATCCAAGTACAAAATTTTGAAAAGAATTAAGCTCAAAGGATGAGATTTACAATCCAATGATGATGTGTCATGGAAGGGCCCGAGGAAAAGGATTTGACCATCCAGGGATGAAGGTTTACCCAGAAGACTTAACATTGAGTTAAGGTTATGATAAACTCAAAAGAGGATTAAAAAGGGGTTAGAACAAGTTGGTAGGAAGACCCTGTTCGGGAGTTCAAGTTTGGAAGTTTGATGTTGGTTTGATTTGAAAGATTTGGTTATGAACCAGTTGAGTTTGAAGGTATTCTTAAACTAAAGGATAGAATTGTATAGAGATAGAGGTAAAACCTTAATGTTGAGATAAACCTAGACTCTACCAGAAATCAAAATAGGTGGACTAACCTAAACATTGTGAATAACGCCACCCAGTTAAGATGCCCGTGGCTTTCCATCATTTCGGATGCGTTGATGTTCTTCATAGTCGTGTATGATAGAGCATTGAATAACATAAATTGTGAGTTAACAATATAATTTTTCAATAACAAAGAGAATATATCAAGGATCATAAGCAAGCTATTATTTTTTTCTATTTCACTTGGATATATATGCTTACAAATGATATTCACTATGAGGTGTTTGGGTGTATGAGTTCAGTAAGTATACAGTGTTAAATGGTGAGCTATCTTCTACAATAATCGAAGCGTCGGTAAAATAAAAATTATGTATATCATATGAAATTATAGTGAAGTGATATAATCAGTTATCATTTAATTTTATTGGATGATAACATGATTTTTAATTTTGAAAGATTTAAGTTTATTACTTAAAATAATGAGGATGTTTATGTGAAATAACTTCAAAATGAAGATTGTGGTGCAAGTGGAGAGATGCCTAATGATTACGAGCTGAAAGAATATTTCAAAGTCTTAAATTTAATAGAATTACAATTAGACTAAATTATGTTGAATGTATTTGAATGTTCAATAATAACAAAAAATTGATATATTATTTAAACATAGCCAAAATGTGAATGTGAATGAGTGACAAAATTAAGAAATATAAGTTTAAACATGATCATATGCTAAAATATTTTGCAAAATGACATGATATATGAACAAAAAATAATCCTTAGATTTACTATAGAGCAAGATATAATTATATCCTACGTCTTTTCTGGAAAACTCCGGTTACTGTTAAAAAACTCTAGTTATTGCCAGAAAACTCCGACAATTGTCGGCGATGAAAGAGGGTAAGAGTTCAAGAAGGGGATCCGGGTTACCTGCGGGCTGCGGGCCTCGAGAGGAGAAGACGGCGGGCTTCGAGAGGAGAAGGTGGTTGTAACCTTCAAATTTCTGCAATAGGTGGTAAAGGATAATACGAGAAAATGACGGCTATTGCCGGAAACCTCCATCTACTGGGATTAGGGTTAGGGTCGCCTGGTTTGCGGCAGGTGTCTCACGAAGGTGAGATTGAGCGCGGGAAAAAAAAAAAAAAAAAAAAAAAAAAAAAAAAAAAAAAAGGAGCCCTTAATGTAAGAGACCTCCGAGGCTATGTCCAAATTCAATCTTTTATTTTTATTAGCAAATTAACTAATTTAAACATATAAAATACCTATTTTGAAGATTTTGCCCCTCCATCTTCTCTGCCGTTTGCCTCTGATTTTCATCTACGCTCCCATCAACATTCCGATTACCGATGTGAACGATTCCTCACGAAAACAAAAAAAGAAAAAAAACAGTGAAACTTGACTCCAAGGCACCCAAACACGAAGAGAGAGGACTCACAATCTTTAGCTGAGCAATCTCTTTGCTCATGAAATTAAAGTCCTTCCGGAGAACGTCGAGCTCGTATTGCCCTGGAAAACAAGCGGATCAAAGTCGTAAATTCTCAAATAGCAAAGTGAAATTACGCTAGGGCCATTCCTTGTCGAGCGGATGACCTCATCGACGATGGAAGCGCTGTGACTCCATAGTTCCGAATCATTGCCCTTGTCCTCGCAGAAGAGATTAATGTCGAGCCTTCTAACCCTTTCATTCTGTAATTTGTTTCCAAAAGAAAAGGAGCGAGAAAGCAAGCAATAAACCTGCGAGCGACGGAGAAGGAGTGCTGAAGGGCAAAAAGATAAGAGGGAGCGAGGGGATGATCGAAGGAGAAGGTAAGTTTGGCAGCTAATGGAAGCCAGTGGAATTTTTCTCCATCAAACGGGTAAGGCTGCAGAGGTTTTAACTCACTAGGGCCTTCAGCATAGAACCTAGAGCACACATTTTATTGAATTGGAGCAGCATATGTAAGATTTTTTAGTAAATTATCAAGGGTGCAATAACTCTTCAATAACTCTTCAATACTCTTCAATAACTCTTCAATAACTCTCAATAATTTTTAAATAATCTCTACAATTTTACTTCAATAACCTCCTATAATAACCATTATAATAACTTCCACAATTTTACTTCAATAAGTTTCTACAATAACCTTTATAATAACCCCTAAAAATTTCTGTTTTTTATTTCAATAATTTTCTACATTAACCCCTAATAATCTCAAATAATCCTCTAATAACTTCTGCAGTTTCATTTCTCACACTAACCCTCTAATAACCTCCTAATAATCTTCTAATAACATTTGAGGTTTCACTTTAATAACCCTTAACATGATATAACACACACGACGATATATTATTAGAGTCCGCACGTAGAGCTACAACGACGATAAAATTTTTTTCCACTAATTAAGAAAATGATTTTCTCCCTCCAAACTATTGCCAAGTAAAAATTACGAGTGTACATAAATCGGTCTAAAAGTGGCCCCAACTGCCCAGGTGGCGCTATTTAGTTGTGTAATCTTTCCCACAAACAAGTAATATTATTACATCAAGATCCGAACATTTGGAGTCCAATAATATGACGCCATGTGTCTAAGTGGTCCCACCATTCTTAATCTCCACTTGCGTTGGACTCCTAACCCAAACTGCAACGTTCCTTTTCATTCTATAACCTATAAATATATTACATGAAGTATTTCAGGAGGTTATAACCGCATTATACTCAACCCCCACCCCCCCCCCCCCCCCCTTCTCTCTCTCTCTCTCTCTCTATATATATATTATATGAATATGAACACAGAATTCGAAGTACAGCTACGTCACAGGAGGTTATAGGGTATAACGCGCGCGGTATTTTCTCGTCTTCTCTGCAAAATATTTTGGTGCAGTCTTTGTTCTGTGAACATTCAAGTGGATTGTTTCGAATTCTTCATCTATTTTGTCTTGGTAAGCGGTATCGATCCCAGATCTAAGCAGGAAAGAGGCCGGAGAAGGAAGAACACCGGCGGTAGATTGGGTGGTGCTATTTGAGCCAAAGATGCGGCCGGACTCTGGCGCCGAAGGCGAAGAGAAATGGCTGGCTGAAGGCATCGCTGGTCTCCAGCACAACGCCTTTTTCATGCATCGCGCTCTCGTGCGTGCTTTTCTCAAACCCTAATCTTTGGACATATCAATGTCTATTTCTTCTTTCTCGACTGATTGCTTAATTTTGTCTTGATTGTTTTCGAAGGATTCCAACAATCTGCGTGACGCACTTAAGTACGCAGCCCAGATGCTCTCCGAGCTGCGCGCCTCCAGGCTCTCCCCTCACAAGTATTATGAGCTCTGTACGTGATCCATGTCCATTTCGTATTTCTCAATTACTTTTATTTTCTCTCTCCTTCTCTCTTTCTCTTTCAATTTAACGTTGCTGATCTGCTTTCCGAAGACATGAGAGCATTCGATGAACTGAGGAAGCTGGAGACGTTCTTCAAGGAGGAGACCAAAAGGGGATGTTCGGTGATTGATCTTTACGAGCTTGTGCAGCATTCTGGGAACATTCTGCCTAGGCTGTAAGAAAAAGTCACGCTTAGAGCTTTGTTTAGTTTGGTTCGCATCCGCACAACATATGAGCTAAAATATTGAACTCATTATTCGTTATAGCAACTCCATGAAACGTTGGGTTTTAAATGATTCTGCTGCAACCATTTTTTAAGCTTTTGAGCTTCATGGTTACTTTTATTTCCCTTTATTTTGATTTAAAGAATAACAACTTGGGAACTTGTATTTTACTTTTGTTGCTTCCATAGTTTGTTTTCGAAATAATTGCAATCCTTCAGTTCCAACTGTAAAACAATTTCAGCCGTCTCTTGCTAGCACTTTTCCAATAAAATCTGTTTCTTTTTTAATTCTTGTTGAACTTCAGTATTTTAAGTACTAGATGCTATTTTTTTTTCCATTATGCTATAAATTATGCCTCGTTATATTACAGGTACCTCCTTTGCACAGTCGGATCAATTTATATAAAATCAAAAGAGGCTCCTGCAAAGGATATCCTTAAGGATATTGTGGAAATGTGTCGGGGTGTACAACACCCTGTCCGGGGTCTCTTTCTGAGGAATTACCTCTGTCAGATCAGTAGGGATAAGTTGCTTGATATTGGTTCAGACTATGAAGGGTAAGAAACTTGGGATTGTCATTTATATTTTACCTTAGTTGTTGCTTTCTTTTCTCTTTTTGCTCTATAATATCTTGCGCTAAATCTTTTCCTCTCTTCATGTAGCATGACATTTTAGGGAAAAGTGTTTTCCAGATGCAGATCTTGGATGTGATGCACAAGCACACGCATAAATGATCGAAATTTGAAGTTCACTAACTCTTCAGCAAAACTTCATGTCTTTTGATAAAAATAAGAAAAAGAGAGCATTAAAATTTACTTCAGATGTTAATTTACATCCAAATCTGAGTATTTGTAATCACTTTTAAAATTGAAATAAAACTGCACAATGATTAATATATGCAGCAAGAAAGAAAGCTACATTGTAATAGATTTTATACCAAATATTGATTACATATATAAAGATCAATCATAATGTTTATGGAAGAAAAAGAACAATGATTGAAGACATTGAAGTTTATTCAGGCCACATGCTAATATAAAGAGAGTTTAATGTGGAAATTGTAAAACATTCAACCAACATACTAGTTCGAGAGAAAACATGGAATTTATTGAATTATTAAGTTTCTCTTACATGCCAACACGCTCTAATTTTTAATAAAAGTGAGACCCAAAATTAGTAGTTTTTACAATTCCATAACCTTGATAAAAGCAACATTTTCTTATTCTAGCCAGCATTAATAAATTTTTGGTATATTGGTATTGTATAAGATCATTGCTAGTAATAGTCTCACTGAACTTTAGAATGTAATTACTCACCTTAATCTCAAGCAGACTTCTTTATTTATTTAATCCTCCAATTTATTATATAATCAATCTTTTACTGGCTTCAATTCCGAATAGCCTCCTTCCACACTTTTGAATAGGCTCCTTCCCCACTTCTTAATTTAATTAATCATATAATTAATTCTAATAATAATATAAGCTTTAACACTTGTCTTATGTGCTTTCAGATTAATCTCCTCCCTCACTCACACGCTTCACCAACCTCTTCTCCTTCTAAGTCGAAATCACTCTTTCTTTGAGCTCTAATTTCAATAAAGCTTTCCATTAACATCAATTAATTTAAACACACACACACACACACACACACACACACACACATACACACACACACACAC